GTTATCATCAAAACGTAGAGATTTAAATACAGATCCAAATCGTGTTCTAACAGTGATAATGTGATGATAGATGATAATGAATAATGTGATGAGAAATGATTTTTAGTAAAGAATAATAATGTAAAGTAGTGATATTAATGTTGATGATAGAACAAATAATAGAAGAACTTTACTTTTAAATCCCAAATCAAATTAGATTCAAATCAAACTTGAGTTTAACTAAATCATAAGTTCAAAACAATACAATTTTTATTTAAAATATAACCTAACAATTTATGACTGCAAAAATGAAGCTACGTTTCAAACTCAAACTTTGTTAAAATTGTAATGAAATGGAATGATGATAGAAATGTGAACATGGTCAAGTGAAACCTCGAGCAAAATCAAAACAAATCTCAATTGCACTCTAAAAGGGCTTGAATCACAATGCAAGAATGAAAGAAATAATATGGATCAAAGATAAGACTTAGATGAAAACATAAAAACCCTCATTTCTAAACCCTAAATAGATTGCTAAAATGAAGTTAGAAGTGTGGTGAATGTAATAGATGCAACACTCGAAGATTAAAACAAAATGTCATTACATTTACACGTGAAAAATGATGGGGAAAATTTAGGTTATGACACGCCTGCAAAACAAGGTTCCACATTTTATAAAAGTAGGTCGGGTACCCATAATTCATTTTGGACGGATCCTTGGTTAGGGCCCACCCCTTAAAGACTAAATTCCTTGGCTTGTTCTTAAATTTTGTTTAGATTTATGGTTTGATGGGGGAGCTTGGTATGGTAGTTAATGGGATTTTTACTTAGGATCTTAGGTGGAGGAAACCATTCTATTTTATAGAGTTACTCATTATTGACGATCTTTTATCTCTACTTCTAAACATCAACATGACCCTAGATGGAGATAAATTGACATGGAAGCATGCTAGAGGTAATTTCTCAATGGCTACAACTTACCTTGTTCAGAGTGTAAATTTGATTTTTCTTATGCCCTTCTGATGGAGATTCGGACCTTTCATCTTATCTAGTTTAGTTGGGACCTATAAGTATCTGAAGAATAATTCTTGGACGCACCTCACTTTAATTTTTTTTAAATACCATTTATTTCACAAAACCTTCACTTTATGTTTTTTATTTCTTTAAAAATGGCTCTTATTTGGTATTTTATTTTTTATTTAAAACTTAAATGATTTGTTCTTAGGTTACACTTTTATCCGATGGTTTTGATACCCCTATTTAAGTATAAAATTATTCATTCATTAGTTTTTACCCTAAATATAACTAATCTACAACCACTCTAAAATTGTAAACATCATTATTAGGGATAGATTGCTAAAGAGAAAAATCTTCAAGTTTTCTTTATTAGTTTTCTAAACATCATTCTTTCATACAAAAATTTGAGAAACTCATTTAACCAACCTTAAACAAAATATTTTATGTTCTTTCTATCTATCTTACATAATGGTGTTTTTATTGTTTTAACCTCTTGCAAAGCCATGGTTATATATTGGAATAACTTCCCAGTGTTGTCAGTTCAAGAAAACATTGTATAGTGTATAGTTTTCCTCGGCTGACAATATTGAGAAATTTATTCCTAAACATGTTGATAATATATTGTAAGCAATGTAGTTTTTTTCACAAAATATGATTTGGAAAATTGTGTTCTGAATATAGGCTTTTGTTTGATTATTGTAACACTCAAAGAAATTGGTGAATGATAAAAAATTCACAAAGAAAAGAATACATGTTACTTACAATTTTTTCCACTCACCAGTTTTTTTTCCAATAGAATTAATCTATTACTTCGTTGGATTTAGCCATTGAGGAGAAAAATCCCTATATTCATTTATTTTTTACTTAAAAAACTTTTTACCTAAATTTTAATAAAGAACCTAGGGAAAATATAACTCGATTTTCTCTATAATGAATCTTTGTCATCTATTTATGAAGTAACAACGCTCAAGATATTTCCAGCACATCACTCAATTAAAAAATCTTCACACCCAATCACAACTTGAACACCACAATTATATATCTTGGACGGTAAGTTATGAAACTCTAACATTGATAATGAAATTGGATTGAAAACAATGAAACTTAGAGAAACATGAAAACAATCACAGGTTTGGATTGCAAGAGTAGGAGAAATTTTGGTGTAAGGTTGGTGTTCTTACATAATCTCTTATCTTGTAACTGAATATTTATTTTATTTATCAAATATGTTTTTATTTTATATCATAAACAAATGCATGAAAAACCATTGAGAATATACTGCATGCAAAAATTATTGAAATTGAAAAGTAATGTGTATGCAACAAAACCAACAGTTATTCATCTCCAAGATTGATAGTAATGACTATGAATCAGATGCAGAATTCGTCAAAATTTTGGACTTGTAGATAGACACAAAAGACCATGTAAAAAAGCTTTATATTTTAATAAAACAAGGGATATATATATATATATATATATATATATATATATATATATATATATATATATATATATATATATATATATATATATATATATATATATATATATATATATATATATATATATATATATATATATATATATCAAGTATTTTACAAAAACGAGAGGTAAAGTAGCATGCTTTAAAAAATACGAATAAGCAGTTGCTGAGGATTGAATCCCCTATCAATCCCACCTTTCTCGTCAGTTGCAGATAGACTGAGGGGAAAATGGTGACTTTCCACGACACCCTTCATTTATCGTGCAAAAAATCGAGGTAATAACCCTTTATCAACCATGGTAAAATAGATTATTTGTAGTAGTGTCTTGACAACTTTTGCAGGATAGACTCCCGACCAGAGAATACCTATCTAAGAGATGAGTGATTCTATATTCTAATAGGATTTTTGTCCTTTTTGAGGTATTTTTCTTGATGCGGCCGTCCATCTCTTCGCCACTTGTGACTGTGTCTTGTCTGTATGGTATAGGCTCTTTAAGTGATTAGGTATATTAGGTATATAGATGGTTATTCTTAATGACATGAGGGTGTTGTTTGGATTTTTTTTGGGGGTAGGATTAAGAATATGGGTGGTTATTTGTTGATTTGGCATAGACTAGTTTGGTTCACCTAGAAAGGCCATAATGACGTTTTCTTTAATAGGGTCACAATTACAATAAAAGAGATGAATGGAAAGAGTATTTGTTTGACTTGAAAATGGTTTATGAGTAAATAACTGGTGAAATTTGTTACTTTATTTGAATGGCTTCTGAACCTTATCCTCTTCCTACACTTTTAGCAGATCGAGTATTTATCTTGGTTTTGAGGTAGATTATGATTTTGTACAGGTTCTCGTTCTCACCGGTCTTGGTTTGGTGGTTTTTGTTTATTTGTCTTTTCCTTTTGTTTAGTTTTTTCACTTTTTGTTGCCTTTTGATAATTCTTGTGTTTAGAGATTTGTTTTGATGTACTTTGGTGTTTATTCACCCCTTGTTTATTATAATATACTAGATTGAGATGCGCGAATGTATATTAGCTTTTATTCTTATATTGAGTTTTAATAATGTAAAGATTTATTTTATAGATATAGTTAATACATTTATTTTAACAAATATAGTCAATATATATATATATATATATATATATATATATATATATATATATATATATATATATATATATATATATATATATATATATATATATATATATATATATATATATATATATATATATATATATATATATATATATATATATATATATATATATATATATATATATATATATATATATATATATATATATATATATATATATATATATATATATATATATATATATATATATATATATATATATATATATATATATATATATATATATATATATATATATATATATATATATATATATATATATATATATATATATATTCAATTTTTTTTCTGAAAAACAATATGAATTAATAAGAAATAAAAAGGAAAATATATATCAGTTTGTAGAGAGTGACATGTAAAATTTATTTTTATATATTTAAGAAATTATAAAAGATATCTTCAGTGGTTTATTTTTTATTTACATTCTCATTTCTTTTTTACACATGTATCTTATTTAAATATTTATTTTAATTTGTTTACATATGTATAATGTGATGCAAAATATTTTTATATTTTAGTTGTTAAGTTTTTAAGTTTTTAAAGTAAAACTTTAAATTTTTTTATATAGAAGTAGACAAAAAAATTGTAGTGAGAAAGAAATTGTCAATGCATAAACCATATTGTAATTTTTTTAGCTTTAAAAGAAAGAAATAATTACAAGACACATATTAATAATATTCCTTGAAATTTATGAAACTAAGCTCTTTCGTATAGAATGTGTTTTTTTCTTTTTGAAAAGTGAAGAAGAGTTTTGAAGTGTGTCACTTTAAAATTTAGATCATGACACAAAAGTAATTGAAGTATTAACCAGAGAACCGGTAATTTTTATTTAATATATTATATAGATATATAGGTTGTATTGGCCTTTCAAAAATTTCTTTATGATGGGGAATTCTTAATATAGGAAATTACATCTTACAATAGTGACTTTTCAACTTATTTTGATATATTGGAACAATTATATTGAAAATGTACAATTATCAAATGTAGATCTTTTAATCATCTCCAGCGCAACAACACATTCTTGTGGCTCCTAAACAACTACCTTTAGAGTAGCCTTTTCTCATAAGAAATTTAGAACAGTTAAAGTTACGACATATTTCAGGAAACAATGCAAACAATTACAAAGGTAAAAATTAGAATAAATTTACATTTAATTTATTATGATTAGTGATATATCAAGAAAAGAAAGAGAAAAAAAACACTCGTGTATATGTATTTCATACATATAAATATAATATAAAAAACATATATAAAGGTTATATAGTTTTGGTTTCATAATACTTTCACACAAATAGATATATTTACTAAATACATATAAATATATCAATAACAAATTCACAAACCATGATAAATATCTCTGATCATGGAATTAGGATTTCAGCTATATGATTATCACTTTTAGCTACGGTGGTTTGGAGATCTCTACACTTGTCATAGTATTCAGAACAATACTTAGGAGGATTATCATAACACAGCTTAAACAATTTCAAGCATTCAAAAAAATCAACTAGCTCATTAGAATTGTAAGCATCAGCTTCACCTTTCTCAGGTTGATAACCTCTTTCTACATTCCCAGCATTACAGCCCTTCAGAAATAATGTTACCACAAGGACAGCTAGAATAACAGAAGCACTGGTTTTAGCCATAACACTATTTTTCTATTCTTATCGATAATATTGTTTTGCATGGAGTATAATTGACTTCATATCACTCCAATTTATATTACTATTGATTTCCTTAAATTGTAAAAAGGAAAAATTAATGTGGATTTGCGTGAGAAAAAAATATTTTGGTAAAATTAAGTTAATTAATGTAACTAATTGGTTGTTATCAAAAGACACAAATATAAATTAATTGGTTACGTGATAGCAAAACTGGCTAACAAATCACAATATAGGGTTGTTGATTCTCTTTCTCTACTACTTTTAAGTCCTATACTTAGGCTTTGTAGCAACATCAATATATAAACATTTAAAATACAAAAAAAAAAATCTTTGGACGTGGATAAATTTGGTAAAGACATATAGGATTGGAAACGAAAGAGAGTAGGTACACCAAAACTACATACCTCATTTAATACTACCGTATATATAATACAAGAAAACTACTTGATATAATTTGGGAAAATTTAGTGAAAGTTGAAACGTAACGCATTGGGAAATGGGTAAGCTATTGGATGCACTACTGCAATTTTGATTTATAATATCACAAAATTAAGGGAACTTTTTTCGCGCACTTATCTTCTTTCAGACCTACGACGAAATGTCAAAATATTTCAAAATTTTAAAGATATATTTTTGAATGTATTATTTATTTATTTTATCTAAATTAAATTTACAAATGCATCTGCATGATACTACAGATCAAATAAAGACCTGAAACAAGACTGTATGTCCAAATTGAAAACCAAACCAACTCCAATATTAAATTAAAATACTCAATATTATATAGATAGACATTAAATTAAATTCACCATTACATATTATTATGGATGAGACATTGCAACATAATGATTATATCTTCGACGCATATTTGAATTCTCGCATTTACTTCAATCAGACCCTTTAATTCATAACGGTGAAAACACTCCACATAAACTTTAAATCTTCACCCGTCTTTAGTTCAAAGTTGGTGAAATGAGGACGAACGATACTCGAGCTTGACAACTCAACCATTTTCTAGAAAACGCATGAGAGTATTCAGTTTGGATATTAGATATGTGAGGGATATTTCCTCGGTGGCCCTAAATGGAACTGACGGCTTCTCACCATTGAAATACACAAATGCAAGGTAGGAATATGCATTCATTCTCTGGTTTTAGTGTGTTATGTAAAAAAAATGAGTCGACAGACACCCTATTTATCAAGTATCGGGCCATTTGGACCTCATAAATCTTATAATGTCACTAGGGAACTTTTCGGATATTTATCTCCGAATAAACCACAACTTTTTTTACTAAAAGGATGACTTCGGAGATGAATTTCCGAAAATGACACTAATTATTTTTTTAAATGTGTGAGGTTAATTCTGATATATCTAAAAACATACCTGCACCAGAATCAAACCAAAAACTCAGTATACAAGCGCATACAATGTAAATCATAAGCAAAATAGAAACTTAATTAAGAATTTCACCATCATTGTTGAGGTTATATATTACTTATGTATTAAATCGTATCAAAATTACATAGTTGACGATAATACATTAAAAAAAGTGCATAAATTACAATCTAAAATACATCAAAAGATCCATCACCACATAAGTCTATAATTGGTCCCGCCTTCGACTTTACCTGATTTAATTATCTTTCAAGCTTGCTCAATTTGGTGAACTCTTTCATCCTGTCAAGAAAATGATTTGACAAAGTTTCTGCCTCTTTTGTTGAATGTGTCATCCACTCAAACTATGTACCTTGTATTGGACAGTCCAGTTTCAAATAAACCTCAATGAAATATAGAGATTTTGAAAGCCACCATATGCATATGATGCATCTGGAAGGGTCTTTAGGTGGAACACTCCACAGTGAAAAAAATGTCTCTGAGAACACATATCTTGTAAGATTGATACACACTCAATCATGTGCACTTGCTATTAGATGGCCCATATAAGGAAGCACATCCATTTTGAAAATGGTGCAAGACTGCTAACACAAAGAGTAAGTGCATCTTGAATTGAATCATATTGTTTTTTGTCCCGTATAACTTTGTGTAGAATTCCCCATGCATCATCAACTCATTCAAAAGAGCTATGCGAACAAGAAAATGATTCTCCTCTTCTTTACCTAATTCATACCAACTTATAGACGACGGTGCCATCAAAATTTTCCTTACCCATAATCTAGTGTCTACATTGCTTGGGGATATTCTGCATTCACTTCATACCCGTACTATGAAGAAGCGGGGAACTCTCATGTGTTGTATGCCTTTGCTCTATAGGTAGTTTATTTCGCACCTTCCTCGATCAGTAATGAAGAATGAGTTAGGCTTAAGGTGGAACCAAATATTAATGTCTCTTGCTCACTCTGATATCTATTGGTGCCCTCGCTCTCAAGAAGGCGTCTCTTTTATTGATCACTGCGGAGAATTTCCCAATGTGCCACTCCTTGAAATTAAAGGAGGCATCACCTACAACCCTTCTTTAGCCATACGTCAGTTTGGTTACGCCCGGAGGGATGGTCCTCATGATATGCTCATCCAGGGTATTGTGTTCAACTATTCAAATGATCCACAAGGTTATCGTTAAAGGTTCATCTGCGCTTGGGGCATGGTTAAGAAGACTGATAGTAAGACTTCAGGGTACAAGAACTTCATCCCTTTGGAGCCTTACCTCAAATGGGTGTGAGCTCGTGCTCAAAGTCTTATGATGCCATATGCTGCCATCTTACCAGTGATCTCAGAGCCTATTGTTCAAGGAGATAGGTCTCGCATCATTCTTCATCTTGATATATCGACAAAATTCGAAGAATTCCAAAGGTCTTGGATCCAACTCAAAGAAGAACGAGACACATTTGAGACCCAATTTTATGCCAGTGAGAAGAAAGTGTTGGAACTGACGAAGCAGCTTTACGAAGAGCAGAATCTCAATGCCTACATCAACACCAAAAGGAAGCGTCCATGGGAGACCTAGGAATTTTAGAAGTGTCTTTTTTAATTGTCATTTCTTCATAACTTTTGCATCAGTTGAACCTACTAATAAAAAGTATTTTGCTTCTGTTTTGTTTAAAAGAGCTTAAATCCTATAAGGTCCTTAGAAACATTGCATAAGTATATCATCACATAAACAAGTTTTAGGATAGGTTTCTTATCTTTTCGTTGTTTATTTCAGCAAAAATAAATGGCTCTCGAACAGAATATTAAGGACCTTCAAGCCCAAAATGCTCAATTCCAACAGATGTTCCTGGCTCTGACTAAGGGACAAGAGGATCTGAAGGCTCTCATCCTGAAAGACAAGCAGAAGGAGATAAAGAAACCAGTGGGTGTTCTGAATATGGGAAGGAGATTCAGAGGACCAGCAAAGCGAGTTCTAGAATTCGCAACTCCATCAAATGAGGGAGACAATCAGGAAAAGAAGACAAAAGAAGAAGACCATAGTCCAGGGTTTGATGAAAAAGAGGTTGATTATGCTAAAGAGCAGTATCCTCCTGCTGATGACAAATACAAATAGATGGAGGATCATCTCAACGCCTTGGAAATTCAAAGGGTACCCGGTCTTGATTTTGAAGAATTAGGGATGGTTTCTGGAGTGGTCATTCCAGAGACGTTCAAGGTTCCTGTGTTTGCTAAATATGACAGGGTTTCATGTCCTAAACTGCATCTGAGGTCTTATGTTAGGAAGATCCAACCTCACACCGCTGATAGGAATTTGTGGGTGCATGTCTTCTAGGAAAGCTTATCAGGGACTCAATTGGAATAGTTCTATCAACTGGAGGGAACCAACATCCGCAACTGGGAGGATCTGGCTGCTTCTTTCTACAGGCACTACCGATACAATGCTGACCTCGCTCCAACCCGCACTCAACTTCAAAGCATGTCTATGGGTTATAGCGAGGGTTTCAAAATATTATACCCAAAAGTGGAGAGATCTTGCAGGAAAAGTCCAACCTCCACTTTCTGATAGAGAGTTAGTAGATATGTTCTTGGGTACATTGTCTGGTCCATTTTTCAACCACTTGATTGGAAGCTCTTCAACTGGGTTCACCGAGTTGATATTGACAGGTGAGAGAGTGGAAGCTGGTATCAAGAGCGGTAAGATTCAAAAGGAGGCATCTTCAAGTACAATGAAGAAGCCTTTCATTGGGAAGAAGGAAGTAAGTGATGCTTATGACCAGATAAATCAGGGTAAAATTGAACGCTGTCCGACGGTAGGAGCTGTGATGATTTCCAACCCTGCATCGACTTAACGACAAAATAATCAGCGCAGGCAGGACACGCCTAAAAGACAATTCACCAGACTTAACATGCCATTATCACAAGTATTGCAGCATCTATTAAAGGCTTTCTTGGTCACTCTGAGGGAGCCTCCTCAAAATTCAAACACTACATCTCCCTGTTATAATCGAAATACTGGATGTGCCTACCACTCTAACAGTCTGGGGCATGATACAAATGATTGTTGGGCTATGAAGAATAAAGTACAAGATCTTATTGAGGCAAAGGAGATTGAATTTGACCCTTCTGAGACCCCTAATGTGATCACTGCACCAATGCCTAAGCATGGCCAGGGTGTTAATGTCGTTGATGATGACCTGTTTGTTTCTTCTATTGATGAACTACTTACTCCTCTTCCGATTGTTAAGAAGAATCTCTTGCGAGCCAGTTTACTTCTGGGTTGTGGTGAAGGTTGCCACTTGTGTACGCATCTACCCAATGGTTGCTTGTTGTTGAAGATAGGTGTCCAACGCCTGATGAACAACAAGGAAATTTTCTTCGAGAAGACCCCCTCTATGAGAAGTCTGTGTGAAGATATATTAATCATTACCATTTCCGATAATCCTCCCAGGGTCTCCTCAAAAGACCTGTCATGATTACATCCACTCCTAAGGTTGCTCCTTTATTTATCACCTTTCTAGGTCCAATACCATATTCCTCTGACAATGTTGTTCCTTGGAATTATGAGGCTGACGTTTATTATAATGGAATCAAGCAA